TCCCGGTGAGAACATGACCCCCCCCCACCCCCCGTCAGACCCTCCCCCCCCTTAGTCCTGTACTGGTCAGTTAGTGGTGACCTGTCAACTCATGGTACGGTGAAGGACACTGAGTTGGACGTGACAGGAAGTGTGTACGGAGTGATGTGAGGTCAGGGTCGGGTTATGAAGAAGTCACTGAGGAGTCCATCCATAGAGTGCCCCCTTCAGGCAGGGTCAGGCAGTAAAGCTGCACAAGGAGGAAATAGAGACTGTCGTAATGACTGTTGTGTGTGTGTGAGAGTGTGTGTGTGTGTGTGTGTTAATCCTCTTCCACCCCCGATCTCCTAACGATGTCTGTCAGACCGTCTCTCTCACTGCCAGTCTGTAACCTGTGTCTGTGTCTGTCTGTGTCTCAGGGAGAATCTGGCCAGTGACATGTACCTCATCTCCCAGATGGACAGTGACCAGTATGTGCCAATTGTGACGGTGGCCAACCTGGACCACGTCAAGAAGCTCAGCACTGATGTGGAGCTGATTGTAGACATTTTACGATGTGAGTAGAAAGACGGAGGGAACTGAACTAAAATCTCTGATTTTCTCTGTGGACTTTGGTCTGAACTAATATCTCTGATTTTCTCCATGGACGTTGGTCTGAACTAAAATCACTGATTTTCTCCATGGACGTTGGTCTGAACTAAAATCTCTGCTTTTCTCCCTGGCCTTTGGTCTGAACTAAAATCTCTGATTTTCTCTATGGACTTTGGTCTGAACTAATATCTCTGATTTTCTCCATGGCCTTTGGTCTGAACTAATATCTCTGATTTTCTCCATGGACTTTGGTCTGAACTAATATCTCTGATTTTCTCCATGGCCTTTGGTCTGAACTAAAATCTCTGATTTTCTCCATGGACTTTGGTATGAAATAAAATCTCTGATTTTATACATGGAATTTGGTATGAACTAAAATCTCTGATTTTCTCCGTGAACTTTGGTCTGAACTAAAATCTCTGATTTTCTCGTTTTTTGTGTTTTTGTGTCTTTCTCTTTGGTTCTAATGTTTTCCACTTGTTTCAGCTCTGCCGTTGGTCCAGGTGGATGAGAAGGGGGAGAAGGTCCGTCCCAATCAGAACCGCTGCATTGTAATCCTCAGAGAGGTTCCTGAGAGCACACCCATCCAGGTCAGTGACGTAGTGAAGTTGGACACAAACTGATGAACTTGGACTCGTGACCAAAGACTTGGGACTGGACTTGGACTCGTGACCATCTCTGGCCTAAATCATTCATTCAAGTGTGCTTCCTTCTTTGTCCTGCAGGAGGTGGAGGCGCTCTTTAAAGGGGAAAACTTACCCAGGTTCATCAACTGTGAATTTGCCTACAACGACAACTGGTTCATCACCTTCGAGTCCGAGGCAGACGCCCAGCAGGTGAGAACCGCCCTCAGGATCTGAAGCGGAGCTCGTGCTCCTGCTGACCCCTGACCTCACACACGCTGCTGTTGTCTCCTCTGTTTTGTTGAAGGCCTATCAGTATCTGCGCGAGGAGGTGAAGACCTTCCAAGGGAAACCAATAAAGGTGGGCTGAGAGCACGGGGGTCAGCGACCCCGAGAATGACCAGCCTCTGAGCTGTTGTTGTCGTCGTTGTCGTCGTCGTTGTTGTCGTTGTTGTTGTTGTTGTTGTTGTTGGACTGTTCAGTGTGGACTGATTACTGTTGTTGAGGACAACCACTGGACTGAAGTCCAGAAAGAACGTGCTGGTAGAACCCGGTTCCACACTGTCGTTGTTTGTCGTTGAACTTTTCCACTGCTGCGTCTCCATCCTTGTTGCTTTGGTTTCAGGCCAGGATCAAGGCCAAGGCGATCGCCATCAACACTTTCATGCCAAAGAACGGTTACCGTCCGGTGGAGGTGAACCCGTACGCCCAGCAGCGCTTCACCTCCTACTTCATCCCTCCAGTGTACAGCCCGCAGCAGCAGTTCCCTCTGTACAGTCTGATCACGCCACAGGCCTGGTCCACGACCCACAGCTTCATCGACCCCACGCTGGTGAGACTGGGCGGGGGTTGAGGAGAGGAGAACCGCCGCGAGAACGGAGCGGTTTAACGGGACACGTCTGTCTGTTTTCCAGGTCGCCCCGTTTCACAACAACCAGTTCATCAACGGATTCACCACGTCACACGGTTTCAAACCGGCGGCGTCGCCGCTTACCGTCAGACACTACTCACTCAGGAACAGGTGAGTTCCTGCTGCTGATTGGTCAGACGGCCGTTATGTTGTTTGCCCTGGTTTCGTGACCCGTACAGATCATTTCAAGATTGGTCTCCTGTTCTATTTCTCATGCTTTTCTCCTTCACCTCTGAAATGCTCCAGCAGGGGTCACTGTAGCACCGACACCTCCATCAGTGCAGTGGTTCTGACCCTGGTCTAAGTCCTGGTCTTGGACCAGACCTGTGTCAGTCTGTAGAAGGTTCTGGTCCAGAGCAGCAGCTTTAGCTCTTTAGCTCTTTAGCTCTTTAGCTCTTTAGCTCTTTAGCTAACAGCCTGTAACTCCTGCAGGAATCACAGTAAACCTCACCTGAGGCCCGGCGTCCACTCAGCGGCCGACCGCAGCACGGGGCTCCTGGACAGTCCCGGGATTTTTCCCAGCTTTCACAGCGAGAGGCTGAACGGCATCCGGGGCAGTCCGCCCACACGCCTGCCCTCCTCCCAGCCCAGGACCCGGGTCCCCTCCAGCACGCCCTTCCCCCGCAGAGACACGGCCGGTACAGGGAGGCTGACGGAGCCCCAGACCTCGGACTTCTCCCTGGGCCTCGGCCGAGGACGGTACGGAGCTTGGATGTTAACGATCGTACAAGAGTTGTTAATGAATAAAACCTTTTTGCTGCTGACGAGCATTTACGCTGATGATACGCTGCTGCTCAGCAACGCCACCTACCTGTGGAGTTGTAGTGAAATCACCTCTGTTTTTTGTTTTGTTTTTTCTTGTGAAGTTTGAAGTTGAAAATGTTGACTTTTTCTCTTTCCAGGAAAAAAAGGGAAGAAAAGTTTACAGTGAGTATTTCTCTTGTTGTTACTTCTTTACTTCTGTCTGGGTCAAAGGTCAAGGGTCAGCATGCTGACGATGATGAGCAGGAACCTGATGAACCCTGACCTTTGACTGTGTCAGTAGTTTAAATGTAGATTTATTTATTTTTTGTTTTTTTCGTGGTCGTCCTGGATCAGAGGGTGACGCCGCACTCGCCGCCACCTCCCCCCAAACCTCCGTCTCCCAGCTTTGAGCTGGGTCTGTCCAGCTTCCCCCCCCTGCCCGGAGCGGCCGGTCAGCTCAGGACTGACGACGTGTCCGACAGCCGGCTGGTCAGCAGCGTCGTCGCCGCAGCTGCCAAGGAACAGGTGAGAGCGTCACGTGACGTTCACGCCCGTGGTGTTCTCATCAGAGGGTCAAAGGTCACGGTGGGCAGCAGCCATGATGATCATCATGATCTCCTTGTTTTCCAGAATGTTGGATTGGAGTCCGGTTCTGGAGGAGTTCTCTCTCCGCCCGGCCCCACAGAACCTCTTCTGTCCCCCGCCCCCCCGAAGCCCTCGCCAACGTCATCGACCTCCCCCCTGAGCCCAGCCGCCTGCCCACCGCTCAGCCCCGCCCCCTCTGTCCAAGCAGGGTAAGAAACAGCAACCTGTGACAGTGAGAATGGCTTTGTAAACTACCATGGCCTCCAGGGGGCAGTAGAGTCCTTTTTCTTTCCAGTATCAATATATAATATGTTCCAACTCCAGTGGAAAAAAACCAAAAGTTTTGTTTTTGTCAGGGAGGCGAAGGCAACAGAGCTGAAGCAGAAGGAGGCGCTGTCCGTGGAGCGAGTTCCTGGAACTCTTTCCACTGCCAGTAAATCTGTGCAGGTCAACGGCGCCGCCACGGTAAGGGTTGATTTCCTCCTCAGACTGTTTAATCGCACACAGATGAACGTCAACGTCAGGAATAAAAGGAGTGGAGCGTCGATGCTCAGATGTCGCTGAGGTTTCGCGTTTTGATTGGTTTGATTTGATGGACAGAAAGTTCAGAAATGATGAGGGCGAATAAGTAACGGGTTCTGCTTGTTTCCCGCCTTTTGTCATCACTTCCTGTGCAGGAGCTGAGGAAACCGTCGTACGCCGAGATCTGCCAGCGCGTGAAAGACAACCCCGCTTCACAGCCAACGCCGACCAACAAGGAAGCCAAGCCAGCCTGCGGTGCCCCCGCAGGTGAGGAGAGGAAGTGCCCCGATGCCTCCGCCTGTCCCTCGGGTGAAGCCAAGTCCTGCAGGAACCCGACCTCCAGTCGGACGCCCAGAGAGAGCCGCAGAGAGACGGGACGCTGGGCCTCCCCGCCGCCTCCGACGCATCCAGGGAAAAGTCACCACACTCCGCCCAAGTCTCCGCAGTAGAGACCCCCC